AGCTTAGAGAGAAGGGAGGGAAACCTTTGGTTGAATTAGTAGGGTAGCTGGGTCTGAAGGTGAAACAGTTGAAGGATGTTGAAGTTTATTCCAAAAAGAAGTGGGAGAAGGAAGCTCAAAGGAAGGAATAGATGACTGAGGTAGAGAGGTTGAAATCTGATTTAGCAAAGGATCTAGAGTTTAGTGCAAGGGGGGAAAGAATGAAAGGCCAGAAGTTGAGGGAAAGGTGGGTTAAGAGCGGTCTTGATGTAATTTGACATGAAGATAATTAGTTAAAATGTTAGGGGGTTGGGCAGTGCTAGGAAGAGGTGAGCAAAAAAGGATATTCTTAAGAAGGAGAATCCTGATAATAGTAATGCTACAAGAAACAAAAGTGGCAGAATGGATAGAAGATGGATGAGAAGCGTTTGGGGCTATTACTCTAGAGGTATAGACTGGTTCTTTGTACCGTGTGGGGTGCTTTTAGGGGCATAGTAACAATTTGGAGGACTGAGGTGGTGGAGCCCTTGGAAGAACTAATAGGTTGGTTCTTGCTCTCCCTAAAATTCAAGAATTCAGGTGATGGCTTTACTTGGGTGCTGACGAATATCTATGGTCCCAATAGATATAGAGAGAGAGGTGAAATGTGGGAGGAGCTTTTTGATATTAGGGGATTGTGGAATGGGCCTTGGTGCTTAGGTGGAGACTTTAATGTGACCAGGTTTACTAAGGAGACAAACCACTGATTTGATCACTAATCATATTCTCTTTGATAAGAGACAAGTAAAAAGACTTCACCAAGAACTTTCCATTTCTACACTCCTTCCACTCCATAACAAGCCATCTTCATTAGCGTAGAAATTTTGGTTTGTTCTAGCTTGTCCAGTAGTAGAATACACTCCACCTCTTGATCAAGCAGGGGTCTTCTGAAATTGGGACTCCAAACCACCTGATCACCTCTGATTCATAACAGTGGGCAATCGATACCTGTTCCTCAGCCGGCCTATACAATCTTGGGCAAATATCGCACAGCTTCCCAGCCCCACTCCAATCATCCTCCCAAAATTTCACTCTGGACCCATCCTCCACATTATACAACCATGAATGCTAATAATCACCTTATGCAACAACCTATCTTGTTCCAAAGGCAACTTCCACAACCATTTTCCCAACAATGCTAGGTTCCTATATATCAAATTATCAATCTCCAATCTTCTTTTCTCCCCACTCCTGCATACCAAATCCCATTTCAAAAGATTATAGGCCTATTAGTATGGTGACAAGCATCTATAAAATTCTGGCTAAAGTGCTCTCGTTGAGGATCAAAACAGTCCTCCCTTCTATCATTAGTGAAACCCAGGGGGCTTTCATTCAAGGGCGACAAATAACATATCAGATATTAATTGCAAATGAATGTGTGGAGGAAATGAAAAAGTCTAGTAAGAGAGGTTTCATTTGTAAATTGGATCTTGAAAAGGCCTATGATTTGGTGGACTGGAAGTTTCTATTAGAGGTTATGCAAAACTATGGATTTGGGGACAAGTGGTGTAGTTGGATTTTTTGGTGTATCAGTACTTGTCACTACTCTATTCTAGTAAATGGTATGGTGAGGGACTTTTTTCCAGCTTGCAGGGGTGTCAAGCAAGGGGATCCACTCTCACCCTTCCTTTTTACCATAGTAGCTGATGTGATTAGTAGGACCATTACTAAGGCTGACAATGAAGATGCCATTAGGGGTTGGAGAATAGGGAGACACCAAGTCCCCGTCACCCACCTTCAGTTTGCAGATGACCTAATGATCTTTTGTGAAGGAGGTTTTAGCGAAAAGGTAGCAAACCTAAAGGAGCTAATCAAAGGATTTAAAAGTATTTCTAATTTGAGAACAAATTTGGAAAAGAGCTGCATAGCGGGTATAAATTTGGAGGTAGGGGAGGTCGAGGCTATTGCGGAGTGTCTTGAGTGTTCCACCTCTGCTTGGCCTATGTCATATTTAGGGCTTCCTTTAGGGGCAAATCCTAGGGAGAGTAGATTTTGGACCCCAGTGATAGAAAAGTTTGA